TTTTAACCCAGACAGTTAATTTAGGTGAAATAAAAATAGAAACACTTCAAAAAAAATTAGTGGTAGGAAGCAGTTACTTGTACCTGCTATTAGAATTTGTATAGACTCTTCCTAATTCACAAATCTAAGACATCTACAACTATCATCCTGATCAATGATACATAGCTTAATGGTTGCATGACAGTGAAAATCCCTGTCATTAATTTACCTTCAACAAAATCACATGTAAAACAGAAAATGTAACAAATCAGTTCTCTTATTACTTATATATTTCATTCACTTAGGCCATCATCTTCTAATAAACTTAATTCATTCCTATGTGTGTTATTAGCATACTAAATTAATCTAATTTATTTTTCTAAGTCAAGGATATTGTGAGTCTAATTATTTATAGTCTATGAAATGAGAACCCCATCTTGTAGACAAAATTTCTGCAAATGGTCATTAAATCAGCTTAAGTAAATAGAAGACACTTTGATCTATATGCTTGGACAAGATAGACAGGGAGGAAGGTATCTAACGCAGTAAGACAAGAACTACAAAAGAATCGTTTGACCAGTATCTTAGTTAGGCTTCCTGTTGCTGTAATAAAGCACCATAATCAAAGCCAATCTGATGAGGAGAGAATTTATCATGAAGGAAAGTCAGGATAGTACCGGGAGCAGAGGCCATGGAGGAAAGCTGCTTACTGGCTTGTTCCTCCTCGTTCTTCTATTTTTTTCCCTAAGCTTTATTTATGTATTATTTATATGGTGTTCTGTCTGCATTTGTCCTTGTATGCCAGAAGAGGGCACAAGATCTCATTATAGATGGCTATGAGCCACCATGTGTTTGCTGGAAATTGAACTCGGGACCTTTGGAAGAGCAGCCAGTGCTCTTAACCTCTGAGCCACTCTTCCTTGTAACATCCAGGATCACCTGCCTCGGGCTGGCAATGTTCAGAATGAGCTGGGCCCTCCCACATAAATCATCAATCAAGGAAAAACTCCACTGATTTACTTGTCCACAGGCCAAACTTATGGAGGCACTTTCTCAAACAAGATTCCCTCTTCCTAGATACATCTCTAACATGTGTCAAGTTGACATAAAACTAGCCAGCACAACCAGATTTTAAACCTCAATTATAATGAAAAATGGTATACCGAGAAAAAGAATGTGATACAGATATTTAGTGTGTAAGCCCTGCTAATCAAAAGTATATGTAATTTCTCTTTTCAGGGTATGCCTAGGTTAGGAAGTATATGCATACATTAGGAGTGTGAGATGAGAAGAGTCATTAAATCATACAGCATTTTTCAGAGATGTCTTACAATATTTATAAAGGAACTGATTCAGAAAGTTCAATACTTGAGCAGCTCACATTTTTATTTGGAACTCCTCCATTATCATGATCTACTTTCTTCCTTCTTCAAAAGCAAATCTTCCAAAGAAATCATTTAATGTTTTATAACACACATTAATTTATCATTATGAAGGTTGAAAGTTAAAAATGCGTAAATGTAGAAACATTGTCATATTTAATTTTTAAGACTAAGGATTTATTAAGAATGAATGTTTGAATTAAAACCAGTACCTTTAATAAATAAAAATGTTATATATACAATGATAAAGAAAAGTATAGCTTAAAAAAAAGATACCCACAATCAAATATAACAATGATTAGCTTAATATGCTTGTAAAAAACAGAATCAAGTTAATAATTTTCTAGATGTGGTAGTATACCCATATAATCCCAACACTTGAGAGACTGACTGTGAATTAAATATACTTTAGGTTAACCTATGCTACAGTGTATTTTTGTCTCAAAATAATGAATATAACAATGAATATATGATGATGAACACTTTAAAATATATGCTTACATATGTATAGAATAAATAGCCTATAATGGAGACAGCTTTTCCTGAAAATACAAGAAAGAATTATAAAAACTGTCATTTAAAAAAAAATTCCAAAGATCTTTTCTAGGCAAGTGATGCAAAACTGCTTAATATAGAGAGGAAGAAAGAATCTTAGCATTTCCAAAAACTTATATAAAGCAGATTCTGGTAACAGATTCTTAAAATAGCTACAGAACTTGAATATAAGGCCATGGATGAATGCAGACACATAAATTAAAGAATTCTGACAATCAGATAACTGATTTCAAAACAGTTATTCTCATTTCCCCTAATCACTTCCCAAGTTAAAATATTACCAGGTTGACCCCTGCCTCAAAGACTCTTTAGCTAGGTGAACCACAAACATAAATCTATCTGGTCATCATGCTACTTCAGGGAGACATTCTCTGGAATCAGGCTAATCAAAATCTCAATGCTCTGACAGCATTTGGGTCTGTTAATGATCTGTTTCCTAGCTTGGCCTCAAATTCATCCACTTGCTTGCTTTTCAAAGGTGTATCTAAGGATTGTAAATGTTTTTCCCACAGCACTGAAGAAAGAACAAAGACTTCACAACCATAAGACTAAAGAGTATCACTTCCTGGGTCAGTGTATTCTCTCAGCAACAGTGAGGCTTTTTCAACACTAGGTAAGGAGGATAGGAGAACCAAAATACCTTAGAGCCAGTACCTTTCTTCAGAATCTCCTTAGGTAGTTTTGGATAAATATACATAATGAGACATAGTCCCAAGAACACCTTTCCCATATCTGAGGACAGATTTCCAGAAAGTTTTGCCAAAGTGAAACCACAATGCCATTTCCTGCCTTCTCCAATAAGGACTTGACTTCAGTCTTTGGGAGGACAGACTTTGATAGTGAATAATATCTCAGTTGAAATATTCTTTGTAAGTGCTCTTCCTGCAACCTTCTAACTTACTTTTTAGATGAATAAGGCAGTCTCTCATTATAGCTAATAATTAATTATACATAACAGCATCTGTTGCAATTACTGTTTAGTTTCTGTCTATGGAATGGAATACATACATTTCAGGTTTATACCTGCCCTAAGTATAGAATTATAAAATTGATCAAAACTAAGAATTACATCAGCCACATCTGACACGGACTCTAGTAGGCGATTTCCACTCTCCTTCCTGTCCTCCACTATCTCTCCAGTCTCCTCCTAAGCCCTGCAGCAGATGGCTTGCACAGACCTCTCCTCCTTCCCTACACTCCCTGAGGACTCTTCCAAACCTTGCTGTAAATCCAGCTTTTCTCCCTCCCTTAGCTCTTTTTATCACCCACCTATACCCAAAAACATTCTGACAGACATGTATAGTTGCCACATCTGGCAAGGACTCACAAAGTGATTCACACTGACCTTCCTATCCTCCATCACATTCATTCTCATCCTCAGCCAAATAACAACTTTCATACAGGTACCCTTCCTCCAACCTAAACTCCACTCACTGGAGACTTCTTGATTCAGACCCAGGGTCTAACTAGCCCTTTCATCAGTTTCCCCAGATAATCGATGCCTTAATGCAACCTACTTGCAGAATCCCCTCTTCCCACCACCCTACCTTAAAGTATGAACAATTTCCCCTTAGCTCCTTTCTTACGCCCCTCAGCCTCTTCTACTAGCTATTCTTTTCTGCCACCCACCAACCTGAGGAAGCACCTTCTACCAGGAAACACACAGCCATCACACTTGCTCAAGAGCCAGAGAGGACAACAGAAACCAAAGAATGGAACAGCTGCCAAATTAAAAAAAAAAAAAAACAGGTATCAACACCTACAATCACTTCTGTTGTCACAATCCCAGAAGCCTAGACACTATCACAAAACACAACAGCCAAGATAACATGTGTCCATCAGAACCCAGCAACCCTACAACAGTAGACTATGAGAAATGTAGTATTACTGAAGAATAAGACAAAGAATTGAAAATAACAATTATAAATATGTTCAAGGATCTTAAAGATGATATGGATAAATCCCTTAACAAAGTCTGTGAAAATACAAACGATGGAATGAAATAATGAAAACCGTTTAAGACATGATAGTATAAATAGAATTACTAAAGAAAACCCAGACTAAGATAAAAATTTTAGAAAGTCAAAAACCTCAGAGGCAAAGCCTCACCAACAAAGTACAAGACATGGAAGACATAATCTCAGATAAAAGACAAGGTTTAAAAAAAATGGATATCTCAATCAGGAAAAAAAAAAAGTTCAATCTAAAAACTCCAGGAATAAAAATCCAGGACACTATGAAAGACCAAATCTATGAATAATAGGAATAGAGAAAAAAATTTTCCTAACCTAAAAAAGGTGGTGCTATTCAAAGTACAAGCAGCATATATAGAACACCAAATACACAGGAGCAAAAGAATTCCCGAGGACACATAATAATCAAAACATTTAACATACAGAACAAACAAAGAGGTAAAAAACTTTGAGGGGAAAAGACCAAGAAAGATATAAAAGCAGACCCATTTGAATAACACAACTGTAAAGAGACCATAGATACATGCCCAAATTACTATAACTAGAAAAAATTTCAGTCACAATAGATGGAAAAACATTCCATGATAAAAAAAAAAAAAAAAACAATCAAAGACAAATGAGCAATGTCTTTATTCCAATCCAGCTATAGAGAAGTCACGAGATTGCAAACTTCAAGCTGAAGAGTTACCCAATCCCCCAAAAACAATAATAATATCAGACCAGCAGATGAAAAGCAAGGAAAATATTCACACCACTCAAACAAGATAATGGGAATCAAAAAAACTACTCACTGACAACTTTCAACATCAATGGTTTCAGTTTCCCAATTTTAACAGACTGCATGAGAAAACATAATCCATCTTTCTACTGTATCTAAGAAACATACCTTAACATTAAGAATAGATGTGATCTCAGGGTAACCAAGATGAAAGAGGATAGTCTAAGCAAACAGACCAAAGAAGTAAGACGACACAGCTATTTTAATAACTAACAAAATAGACTTCAAGCCCAAATTTGTTTCAAAAGAAATAGGGAAAGACCAAAGAAAAAATTCACAAAGAGAATGTTGAAATTCTAAACATTTATATAACACACACACACACACTCTCTCTCTCTCTCTCTCTCTCTACTATAGCGAAAATCAAACATTGACCCTAACACACTGATAGTGACGTATATAGTCAGATATCCAACTCTGACCAAAAGACATCATACAGACAAAAGCTAGACAGAGACATGCTGAAGTTAAATAACATGAACCAAATAGATCTACAGAACATTTTGCACACGTCACCAGAAAAGAATGCACCTTTTTCTCAGCGAATCATGGAATTTTGTCAAAATTGATACTTGGACACGAAGCAAACCTCAACAGATACAAGAAAATTGAAATAACATAATCCTATCTGACTACTATAGATTAAAGCTGGATATCAACACCAGAAAACTTACAAATTCATGGAAACTGAACACTTTACTACTGAATGGGAAAAAAGAAAGAAAAAAATCATCCTGAGTGAGATAACCCAGAATCCAAAAGACAAATATGCTATGCATTCTCTTTTATATGGTGCTAGCTTTTAGGCATCCAAATGGGATGCTGTTGTTTCAATAACTACAGTTAGGTAAAACAAACAAACAAACAAACAAACAAAAAACCAACAAGGAACTAGGGAGAGGGAAGGCTCTCAAAGAAAGGGAAATAGTCTGCATAGTAAGAGAGAAAGTGTGCAAACTGGAGTGGGAGGGTTAAATGAAGTTGGGGAGAAAGAGAGGGAGAAGAACAGCTCACACCAAGGCCCATTTGATGGATTATATAAAAAACTATTACAATATCAGCTTCTTTAAATGTATACACATAGGAAAGAAATCTAAACAAAGTCACTAAATAGTATGGGAAAACAAAGTTCCAACTAGATATCTCTTGCAACCAGGTGAAGCCTCCAGTGCCAAGAATGGGTTACATCTAGTTGAACTGTTGGACAAAGAGGCCCAAGGAAACCCTCAAAAACTCAGGCTATTATCAAAGCTATTTTTCTCCACAAACTAATGGTAAGGAACCATTGCTGAAGACAAAATCTACTTCCATATTTCATTGAAAATGGAGAAAAGTTGGTGCCCAGTTAGGAGCACTCCCCCCTACTGACTAGTGTTCATAGTACTACAAGGTGCTCTGCACGCTACTGGGAGAGAAAGGTAAACCTAACAACCCACTACTAACCCTTCAATCTACAATGGCAATGCGCCTGTTAAGTATGCATACTCGTGCAACAACGGCACAGACACTGTGGGAATAATCAACCATTATATGACTAGATTTAAAGTCCTATATCTGTAAGATGGAACCCATGCCTGACAGTGCTCTGGTGGCTAAGAATCAGACCTAGGGGAAAACCAAATACTACTGTTCTGCTAAAGTAATGTAGCAGTAAAATGATTAACAACATTCTGCTATACCCACAAATCAGTACCTCACCCAGCCATCATGCATAGAGACCTACAACTGGATAGTAATCAGATAATCAAAGACCTCGGAACACTCAAACTTTAAAAGGATGTCTTCATCAAATCCTTCCCCCTCAGAGCTCAGAGAGTGGAAGAGGAGACACCTGCTGAGAGCCAGAAGGGGTGAATGATACTAAGGAAATAGTATCTTCCAGACACAACAGGATTGACACACATATGAACTCACAGAGACTGTGGCAGCTGCTACATGTTCCAGAACAAAGTACATGTTAGCTACATCACTGAATTCTTTTCCAATAGAATTTATTTAATTTTGGTATATGTGCATGCATTAGTGTGAAGGTGTCAGATCCCATGGAAACAGCATTACAGACAGTTGTGAGCTGCCATGTGGGTGCTGGGAATTGAACCCGGATCCTTTGGAAGAGCATATACAGTGCTCCTAACCACTGAGCCATCTCTCCAGCGCCCACCACTGAATTCTTGATAACACTTGTATAACAAAGAAATCTCTATTACTGTGATCCTACTACTGTCAGACATCTTGTCACAGTGAGAAAACACCTCAGTTAAACAAGCAAAAGGGAAGATCTGTTAGGATCCTGGTTTCAGAGAGCTGTGGCTCAAAAAAGTCCACATCATGGCAGCCAGGAAACAGGTAACCTGTGGCTTTCTTCCTTTTCCTCCTTTACTTTATTTGGTCTCCAGATGGCTTTCTGGTTTTCACCTGTCCTTCCATGTGGCCTCCAGGGCAATGGGATGGTCCTATTCACTCTCATGACAGGTCTTCACCCTTCAGTTAATCCTCTCTGCAAATACTCTCACACACATACTCAATGATTTACCCTACTCCTAGGTGCCTCTCTATCACGGGAAGATGACCATCAAGAGTACGTATCAAACTACCAGAGAATCTTCCACTTCAAAAAAGTTAGCAAGAAGCCATATCCATTTTTCTTATCAGGGACACAGGATAAATATGGGTATGCTCCCATTCACCTGAAATATTTACAAAGGATGAAGACACTGACACAGGAGAAAAAAATGAAACAAAAACAGAACAAGGGAACAATAAAGGCTAATGTAACAAAAACTAATAGAGGAAAATGAAAGGGAAAAATAATCTAAAGTATTATTTTTATAATAAAAATAATATATATCAAAATAAATGCTATATAATACTTATATTTTAATAATATAAATATATAAGTATTTAAAATATATTTTTATAACATTTGAATTTTATATAGTAGACATGTACTGTTTTAGTACTTTTTATAGATTAGTAAAATAAAAACTTAGGAAAATGTCTTGGAGGAAAAAAAAAGTAAATCTGACTGGCTACTAGATTTAAGTACAATGGATTTGCATTTACTTCTGTGTATCTATCTGTCTCTATACAATAGGAAGAACTGACTGAAAAAGAATCTTAACTTCTGCTTTGGCTTTACTGCAAATACCAGTACATGAGCTGGAACGAAATTTAGGAATTTGAACAATAAATGGAATGTGTAACAGAGCAGAATAATAAGCACAACTATGTAATAAACAAACATGCAAATGTATTAACATATTCAAACCGAAGGATACTGCGTAACTCCATAATGACACCTTTTATTCTCCTTGAGAAGACAAGATGAAACTTTTACTTCTGATCCTAATCTACCAAATTCTGGAATTCATTACAAAGAATGAAAATAGGAAGCCTCCTACTATCACAAATAGAGCTCTAAATACCTAAACGAAAATTTTTCAATTAACTTGATTGTTAAATATGATCTTGAATATAAAATAATTAGATTAGTTTCTAGTAAACTATATCCAGTCTAGAAATCCATTTAAAGTAAAAATTTAATATTTATTTAATTGACAAATTACTTTACCTGTTGCTGTTTTATCTCGAAATTCTTCAAGTTTTACCAAAGTTGCTGAAGTGAGTTGGGCTAGATAGACATCTTTTGGAGGTCTGAAGAACTCCACTATACTATTGACTGTCCTCTGTTAAAATAAGAATCACTAACATGAAGCACTAACTCAGAATAAATGAAAATACACTGAAACGTAGTAATACAGAAAATGCTTACTGCATCATATATTATCTCTAAGGGTTCAGCCTCTATGATACACCTCTGAGCAACAGTTTCATCTAAAGGATTTATCTCAAAAGTAATCTGGAAGAGTGACATATCATTCAACGAAGACAGTAGGTGAGGTTTTCCTGAATTATCTGGTAAGCCAGTAATATGAAATGAATCAATTTTGGTTTCAAATCTGTATAAAAGAATAGAAATTAAAAATCAGTAATACTATATAAATATATATTAATCTTGGGGGAAGGGCTGTAGTTTAATTGTAAGAACTTGCTTAAAATAAACACAGCCCTGAATGTGATCCCCATGAGACAGAATATGAAAAAGATATACATCAAGAATGTATAAAACACTGTTAAAAACTCAAAACAAGGCATAGGGGAAGCTTAAAAGTAATTTCTCCTAACAAGATATAGACAAACATCATCAACAAACAAAGAAAAAAATATTTAAAATCATTACCTATCAACAAAATGAAAATCAACCCCACACTGAGATACCACTTTTTGCTGAGATAGCATAATGAGAAGGATAGGTAACAACAAGTAGCAGTGGAGATGTGGAGACATTGAAAATTCCCTTCATTGCTAGTAGGAATGTAAAATGTGCCTGCTTTGGGAAATTGTCTGGTAGTTTCTCCTGAAGTTAATCATTAACAGTTACAATACAAAGCAGTAATAAGCCTATTCTTAGATATAACCCCCCCCAATTTAAGACTTATATACAGATAAAACTTTTGTCCATATTCACATCAGGATTCATTGTAGTCAATGATAGAAGCAACTCAATTACCCATCAGTTAAAGAATAGACATACAAAATATGGCACAACTATAAAATAGAATATGGGTAATAAAAAGTTATTACAAATTCATTAGACATGAAGGAACCAAAAAGACAACATGTTAAGTGGGAAAAAAGGGAAAAAAAACAGTAAAGGCCACCTAATGGATGACTTCATGTGAAATGTCCAAAAAATACTAATTCATCCCTCCCTCCCTCCCTTCCTCCCTTCCTTCCTCCCTCCCTTCCTCCCACTCTCTCTCTGTATCTGCCTGTATGTCTATGCTGCATGCATGAGTGTGCAGCATGTACCTGTACCATGTACCATACCCATGTACCTATGTGCAAAGACCAGAGGAGAACATCAGATGACATCTTCCTCCATCATTCTGCCATATTCCTTTAAGACAGGCTCATTCACTGAACAGAAACGCACCAGTCAGGCTAGGCTGGCTGGCTGTGAGCTATTAGGATATCTGTCTCCACTAGAGTTACAGGGCATGAATTCATACTGTTTATTTATTTTGGATTCTGTTTCTGTTGTTGCTTTTTTGTGGGTGTTGCGGAACAGAACTAAGGTCCTTGTGCATAAATATCAAAGGTTCTTACCTACAGAACCATCTCTCAATCCCAGAATAAACAAATTCTCAAAAAGATTAGAAAACAAGTTAGTTGTTATCAGAGGCAGGGAAAGAGAGCACTGAGAAGAGAGTGCTAGTAAAGGATAGACATTTTCTTCATGCTATGTTGTAATCTCTGGAATTATATAGAGGTAGTGGCTATATAATCTTGTACAATATCAATGTAAAAATGCGTATGTAATATAGTCACAAAAGAACAATATTACATGCTAAATTGATGAACTGTAGATATGTGAACTGATTCTCAATAAAACTAAAACAAAGCTTAAACTACACCAAGCATGGTAGTACACACTTGTAATCTAGAAATGGAGAGGTTTAAGGCAGGAAGATAACAAACTCAAAGCCCACCAGGGATTCATAGTGAATCTGAGGACAGCCTAGGACTATACAGGGAAACTCTCAAAAATGAAGAGAGAGAAGGACAAGGACAGGAGGGAAAAAAGTAGCAAGTTGGGGAGGAGCATGGAAAGAGGGAGGGAGGGAGGGAGGGAGGGAGGGAGGGAGGGAGG